GCCTGAAACCGGAGGACTCTGCCGTGTATTACTGTGCCAGAGACACAGTGAGAGGAAGCCAGTCTGAGCTCAGACAAAAACCACCCATTGTGGTCTGTAGGGGAAGTCCCAGCTAGTTTAATGCGGAGAGTCCAGACACTGGGAACTCAGAAAAGGAAACACTTTCTTCAGGTCATGATGGGCTGATTTAGCCTAGATCAGCTCCACAGAAGACAAAGATCCAGGGCTTGGTCCCTGTCTGACTGAAAAAGGTTAGGGAGACCGTTGCCCTCAAATGTTTTATTGAAATATTTATTCCGTGGAGAATAAATTGTGTGAGCAAAAGGCTTTAAAACACCCTCGCACAGACCTCATTTCCCAAAAGAGAGGAAAAGGCAGGATAAGCAAAGCCTCACGGCTGTAGAAAGCCACCGAAAGACACTGTGGAGCGCTGTTCTAGAGCTGTGCAGTGTTGACTTAGAAAGGCTTTAAATACTCCCTATAAGAATTGGCCTCACCTCTGTTGGGCTCATTGATAAACTATTATCTATACAATATGAGAACAGAGCGCAAATTCAGATTCCCGAGCCTTTTGTCCATCCATTCCGAATCTATCTATCTCATGCACACCTCCTTTCCCCACCCCTCCTTCTCTCAACCCATGGCCACAGAGTTCCGATCACAGACTGAGGAGAGTGTCTCTTCTATTTATACGTGTCCATGCAAATTATTAACCAAATGCCCCAGTTAAATTCTGCCCTGCCTCTAACCTTGCAGCTCCCGCTATACAGACACTCTGGCTTGTCTACAGTTTCTCATTTACTCCCCATCCTTGAACATTTTATTTTTCTACACCCAGGAAGCTTGAGATATTGGTTCAAAGTATTTACATTTTTTGCAATATCCAAGGTAAGATTTTCCTCCCTAAAAGTCGTAGGATGTAACCTGGGTTCGAAGGCCCACAGCTATAATACCGATGGAGTCTGAAAAGAGAGCATATCTTTTCACACTTCTCTATCTCAATAATCATAGAACGTTTAATGTCCATCTGTCCTGCTCTCTAGCCCGATATTCCTCTCTCACACAACATGAGTCAAAGCCCACTAATGACACTGAGGGGGAAATATTTCCCTTCACTACAGTGGATTTAAAAGCAATCCCTTGAAGTTAAGGGCAAGTTAATTAAGAACATAAGAACGGCCATACTAGGTCAGACCAAAGGCCCATCTAGCCCAGTATCCTGTCTTCTGACAGTGGCCAATCCCAGATGCTTCAGAGGGAATGGACAGATCAGGTAATCATAGAATCATAGGACTAGAAGGGACCTCAAGAGGTCAACAAGTCCAGCCCCTGCATTCATGGCAGGATCAGCACCATCTAGAACATCCCTGACAGTTAGCTATAAAAATCCTTCTTGTGGTGGTATTCTACTTGGCTTACCTGACATGGTGGCAGAGCAGTGGGAACAAATCCTGAGATCTGTGCTCCTGGTTCAAAATGTGAAATTGCAGAACTACTGACTGTAGTCTGTAACCTATCATCTAAACCAGCTTCTGTACCAGATGACTGGAGGGTAGCTAATGTGACACCAATTTTTAAAAAGGGCTCCAGAGGTGATCCCGGCAATTACAGGCCTGTAATCCTGACTTCAGTACTGGGCAAACTGGTTGAAACTATAATAAAGAACAATATTGTCAGACATATAGATGAACATAATTTGTTGAGAAAGAGTCAACATGGTTTTAGTAAAGGGAAATCATGCCTCACCAATCTACTAGAATTCTTTGAGGGGGGTCAACAAGCTGTGGACAAAGGGGATCCTGTGAATATAGTGTACTTTGATTTTCAGAAAGCCTTTTACAAGGTCCCTCACCAAAGGCTCTTAAGCAAAGTAAGCTGCCACGGGATAAGACGGAAGGTGCTCTCGTGGATTGGTAACTGGTTAAAAGATAGGAAACAAAGAAAAGGTATAAATGGTCAGTTTTCAGAATGGAGAGAGGTAAATAGTGATGTCCCCCAGGGGTCTGTTCTGGGACCAGTCCTATCCAGCATATTCATCAATGATCTGGAAAAAGGTGCAAACAGTGAGGTGGCAAAATTTACAGATGATACAAAATTACTAAAGATAGTTCAACCCAGGCAGACTGCAAAGAGCTACAAAAGGATCTCTCAAAAGTGGGTGACTGGGCAACAAAATGGCAGATGAAATTCAGTCTAGATAAATGCAAGGTAATGCACATTGGAAAGCATAATCCCAACTATACATATCAAATGATGGGGTTTAAATTAACTGTTACCACTCAAGAAAGAGATGTCAGAGTCATTGTGGATAGTTCTCTGAAAACATCCTCAAATATACAGCAGCAGTCAAAAAAGCGAACAGAATGCTGGGAATAATTAAGAAAGGGATAGATAATAGGACAGAAAATATCAACTTGCCTCTATATAAATCCATGGTACGCCCATATCTTGAATACTGTGTGCAGATGTGGTTGCCCCATCTCTAAAAAGCTATATTGGGATTGGAAAGGAGTACTCGTGGCACCTGAGAGACTAACAAATGTCTATAGAATACATGAACGAGTATGAACGTTTTAAACAAAAGGCCAGAATTAGGATGAGGCTCACCCCTGAACATGCCCGTCCAGGGTTCAGAGCCCTACGGTGGAAACCAGAAGTAGCATTTTCCCTACACGCCGATCACACTGTGAAAAATTGTGTTGCCTGGATACCAGGAGCAAATGCTAAGGCTCTGGAAGAGCTGTTGCTCCTGATGCAAATGGAGCAGTCCTTTGAGCGTGTTCCTGAAGAGATACAAAGATACATCCTAGATGGGAAGCCCAAAAGCATAGTCAAGGTGGGGACGATCAGAACCACATGGGTGGAGATGGCAGAGAGGAACAAAGCTAGTAGCAGTGTGTGGTTCTCTCTCTCTCTCTCTCTCTCTCTCTCTCAGTACACTGGAGATGCAGAGGAATGTAGGAGTATTTGAAACTCACATTGATATGATTTATAATGTATTTCTACTCCTAGGTGCCTGGTCCCAGGTCCAGCTGGTGGAGTCCGGAGGGGATGCGAAAAAGCCCAGAGACTCTCTCTGTCTCTCCTGCAAAGCCTCTGGGTTCTCCTTCAGCAACCACAGCATGCATTGGGTCCTAAAGGCTCCAAGGAAAGGGCTGGAATAGGTGGCTGAGGTCAGCAAACCAACTGGATTGAGCCAGTGGCATTCACAGGCTGTTCAAGGGTGATTCACCATCTCCAGAGACAACTCCGTCGCCAGGGTGTATCTGCAAATGACCGTCCTGAAACCCGAGGACACCGCCTGGTATCACTGTGTGAGACACGGTGAGGGAAAATGAATTTATACCCAGGCAAAAACCTTTTGCTGTAGTTTGAAAACAATGTCTTAAGCTCTAAGGGGAGATAAGGGGCTATAAAGGACAACTCTGAGAAATGAGACAAAGGAAAAAATCAGTTACTGTGATGTTCATAGAATCATTGAATTGGAAGGGACCTCGAGAGGTCATAAAGTCCACTCCCCTGCACTCAAGTCAGGACTAAGTATTATCTAGAACAGTGGTTCTCAAACTAGGGCCCCGCTTGTTCAGGGAAAGCCCCTGGTAAGCTGGGCCATTTTGTTTACCTGCTGCATCTGCAGGTTCCGCCGATCACGGCTCCCACTGGCCCGGTTTGCCAGCTCCAGGCCAATGGGGCCTGCGGGAAGCGACGCAGGACCTAGGGATGTGCTGGCCGCCCTTCCTGCAGGCCCCATCAGCCTGGAGTGGCTGCAGGAATTATGACCTCTAGAAGTCATCAAGTCCAGTCCAATTCTTCAACAAAAACCTTCAAAAACAGACTCCAACCAGAGACTGCTGAATTGGAATTAATTTGCAAACTGGGTACAATTAACTTAGGCTTGAATAGAGACTGGGAGTGGATGGGTCATTACACAAAGTAAAACTATTTTCCCATGTTTATTTTCCCTCCCCACCACGCACTGTTTCTCAGAGGTTCTTGTCAACTGCTGGAAATGGCCCACCTTGATTACCACTACAAAAGGTACCCCCGCTCTCCTGCTGGTAATAGCTCATCTTAAGTGATCACTCTCCTTACAGTGTGTATGGTAACACTCATTGTTTCATGTTCTCCATGTATATAAATCTCCCCACTGTATTTTCCACTGAATGCATCCAATGAAGTGAGCTGTAGCTCACCAAAGCTTATGCTCAGATAAAATTGTTAGTCTCTAAGGTGCCACAAGTCCTCCTTTTCTTTTTCCAGTTCAGTGGTTTAACCAGAGCGTTATCCTTCATCTTTGGCTTTCACGGGGTCAAACACAGGGCTCCTGTCACAAATTGTGACTTGAACAGATGGCACATTTATACGGATATGAAGAATATCCAGAGTTATCAGCTAATCACAACCTGTATTTGAAAGGGATTTTAAACCTGGTGCTTCAGGGTTTAAGCCAATCTCTCATTACTGGAAATCAGGATAAGATCTAATGTGGAAGGCAGGTTACCCCACACTGCCCACTACAGGGTTTCTTACACTTTCCTCTGAACCATCTGTTAGGGGCCACAGTCAGAGAGATAAGAAAAGGAGTACTTGTGGCACCTTAGAGACTAACCAATTTATTTGAGCATAAGCTTTCCTGAGCTACAGCTCACTTCATCGGATGCATACTAACACGGCTGTTACTCTGAAACCAGTCAGAGAGATGATATTGGACTAGATGGAACATGGGACTGACCGCATATGGCCATCACTATGGTCCTATGTAGGTATGCACCCTGGCTAATTCTCTGCAGGTGGTGACAAAATGAGATTTCTGGAGCACAGCTGAATTCTCCCCCTTTGTGCCAGGGGACATGTCCCCTTTTAGCCAGAGCCTCCCTCTGACAGCCCTTTTTATCCTAGCTGAGTGAAACGCGCATGCAAATCCCTGCCCCGGGGGTTCCTGTTTAAATACAAACATCTGGTTCTAGGGGCCTCAGTCTCCCCCCGACACAGAACTGCTCGTTCCTGCCGGCTGGGCACATTTTAGTCTTTGATTGCAAACAATGAAGTTTCTGGTGCTTTTCCTTTCCCTAATGGCCGCCGCGGGATGTAAGTAACGGCTGCAGGGGAAGGTAAATGCACAGTGATGGGGAATGGTTTCCTACATTGATGCGATGTTTTTATTTTCCCCTCAGGTGTCCTGTCCCAAGTTCAGCTGGCCCAGTCCGGTCCAGGGGTGGTGAAGCCCGGAGCGACCCTGACACTGACCTGTGCTATCACCGGTGACTCGGTCACTAGTCTCTACTGGGAATGGGTCCGACAGGCTCCCGGGAAAGGGCTGGAGTGGGTGGGACAGATCGACTGGTCCGGCTCCAAGTGGCGCATATACTACGGCCCGTCTTTCCAGAGCCGAGCAACCCTCAGCGCAGATTCCTCCAAGAACCAGTTCTCCCTGCAGCTCCGCTCGCTGACAGCCGCGGACACCGCCACCTATTACTGCGCCCGGAGAGACACGGTGACACGGGGCAGAGCGGGGCTGGTACAAAAAGGGGAAGCGGGTTCTGAACAGCGAGGCCACATTCAGCAGGGTTCACCGAACAAATCAATACGAGTTGAAAACAAGGGACATACGCAGATGAGGAGGCAAAAATGAAGCGGCAGTGTTGTCTAGTGGATAGGGCAGTGCACTGGGCATCAGGACACCTGGGTTCTTTTCTGCCACTGACCTCTGGGTGACTTTGGGAAAGTCACTTCCCTTTGCTTTACCCTTTGTCTGTTTAGGCTGTAAGCTCTTCTGGGAAGTGACTGTCTCTGACTGTGTCTGGGATGTCTAGATACTACGATAACACCAGTAATTGGTACTAATAACAACAAAAACATGTATTGTAAAGCCCCAGTGCCCCGATCCTACTCCCCGGCAGGAGCTGGCCAAGTTACTGAAGTTCTCCGATCTTGAGCTAAAGACTTTAAATTACAGAGAAGCCACCTTTTACTCTAGTTCACATGAGCAAGTGACCAGTGCCCCACACTGCAGAGGAAGGGAGGAAAAAACAAAACAAAACAAAAAACCACAGGGTCTGTGCCAATCTGACCTGCCGGAAAATTCCTTCCCTCCCCAAATATGATGATCAGTTAAACCCTGAGCATGTGGGCAAGACCCACCATAAAGATGCCTGGGAAATAATTCTCTGTAGCAACAAGTGTCATAGACTTCAATGGGGACTACCGATGTGCTTAAAGATAAGTACATGTGTAAATGCTTTTGGCAGTAGGGCCTAAAAGGCACTGCACCGGAACTCAGGAGGATCTGGTTCTATTCCTGATTCTTGCTTGTTTGGTGACCCTGGGCAAGTCACTTTAATGCCACATGCCTCAGTTTCCCAATCTTTAAAAATGGGGGTAATTTTACTGCCATCCTTTGTGAAGCATTTTGAGACCTGGGAAAAACTGCTATATAAAAGCTATTTATTCTTTGTTATTGTTGTTGTTGGTGGTGTAATTTCACCCATGGGCTCTTTGCAGGGTCTTTAACTCAGAGCCCAAGAATACTCAAGTTACTGACACAAAATACATTCATATGACCTGGATATACATGCTCACATACCAGTCTGAAATAAATTGTTTTTCCAAAATGATTTAGTTGACATTTGTGTATAGACAAGACGTCCATGTTTGAGAGATTGAGCCTTAAGGACAGAAATGTACCTATCCTGTTTTGCCTGATCATATGCCACTTGAATATGCCACTTGAATAGAGAAGCTCATTTAGCACTGGGAGTTCATCTCTGACATAAAAAAGTTATTTTATTGTGCTTCCTGTTTTAAAAGGAATCATAAAATCATAGAACTGGAAGGACCCTCCAGAAGTCATCAAGTCCAGTCCCTTGCACTCATGGCAGGACCAGACACCATTTATACCACCCCGACAGGTGTTCAGGATAATTCTCTGATCCTGAAGCTCTCAGAGGACAGTACCTCTGTGTTTGTGCAGCCATTATTATCAGAACAGTTTCCATAATCAAACCAGATATTACAAGAAAGCTGCTATATAAGTACCAAAAGCCAGGTAATTATCCTGTGAAAAACTTCTGGATTCACCTTCAATGACCACTATTAGGGCTGGGCCTGACAGGCTGCTGGAAAATGACAGAAGTGGGTCTCTTGGCTATGCAGCCCAACTTATAGTGTTGTTGCATTTTATGCGGATAATTAAAAAGTCATCCACTCTCTCCAGGAATAATTCCCACAGCACCCTGTATTTACAAATCAACAGCCTCTGACCAGTGGACAGTGCTGTGTACCTGCCTGAAAGTTACACAGAGAGTTAAAAGTTAATACAAGACACACAGTGCCTCTGTCTCCCAGCAGGGGGCAGCAGATGCTCACAGACAGCTCAATGGGAACAGAGAAAGCATTTATCCTTCTGCAGTTCTAGGTCCTGAATAGGAGCTGAGGCACACCAGTGTAAATCCAGAGTAATTTCACTGAAATCAATAGAGCTGCACTGGTGTAAAGAACCAGAATCAGCTAAAACTCCCAGGATGGTATTTTCAAAACAACTTAAGGGGATTTGCTCTGGTATTTTCAAAGGAGCATTTTCAAAGTAGCCAAAGGGAAACAGGGGTGGTATTTTCAAAGCAGTCTAAGGGAATTTGGGCTGGGATATTAAAAAAGCCTAGAGAAAGGGTTAGGATTTCAAAGAGACCTAATGGAGTTGGAGTAACAGCCGTGTTAGTCTGTATTCGCAAAAAGAAAAGGAGGACTTGTGGCACCTTAGAGACTAACCAATTTATTTGAGCATAAGCTTTCGTGAGCTACAGCTCACTTCATCGGATGCATACTGTGGAAAGTGTAGAAGATCTTTTTATACACACAAAGCATGAAAAAATACCTCCCCCCACACCCCTCTTCTGCTGGTAATAGCTTCTCTAAAGTGATCATTTTATTTGTGTTTAAAAGAGGGTCCCCCCCCCACCCCCCCTTCTTTCCCCCCCCCCCCCCCCCCCCAAACCCCCCCCCCTTTTGGTAATAGCTTATCTAAAGTGACCACTCTCCTTACAATGTGTATGATAATCAAGGTGGGCCATTTCCAGCACAAATTCAGGCTTTAACAAGAACATCTAAGGAGGGGGAGAGGGGAGGGGTAGGAAAAAACAAGGGGAAATAGGTTACCTTGCATAATGACTAAGCCACTCCCAGTCTTTATCCAAACCTAAGTTAATTGTATCCAATTTTCAAATGAATTCCAATTCAGCAGTCTCTCGCTGGAGTTTGGATTTGAAGTTTTTCTGTTGTAATATCGCAACTTTCATGTCTGTAATCGCGTGACCAGAGAGATTGAAGTGTTCTCCGACTGGTTTATGAATGTTATAATTCTTGACATCTGATTTGTGTCCATTTATTCTTTTTGTAGATCCTTAATAATGTGTTGGAGGGGTTTTAGTTGGGGGCTGAAGGTGACGGCTAGTGGCGTTCTGTTATTTTATACCTAACAAAGAAAATAACAGAACACCACTTGCCGTCACCTTCAGCCCCCAACTAAAACCCCTCCAACGCATTATTAAGGATTTACAACCTATCCTGAAGGATGACCCAACACTCTCACAAATCTTGGGAGACAGGCCAGTCCTTGCCTACAGACAGCCCCCCAACCTGAAGCAAATACTCACCAGCAACCACATACCACACAACAGAACCACTAACCCAGGAACCTATCCTTGCAACAAAGCCCGTTGCCAACTGTGCCCACATATCTATTCAGGGGACACCATCACAGGGCCTTATAACATCAGCCACACTATCAAAGGATCATTCACCTGCACATCCACCAATGTGATATATGCCATCATGTGCCAGCAATGCCCCTCTACCATGTACATTGGTCAAACTGGACAGTCTCTACGTAAAAGAATAAATGGACACAAATCAGATGTCAAGAATTATAACATTCATAAACCAGTCGGAGAACACTTCAATCTCTCTGGTCACGCGATTACAGACATGAAAGTTGCGATATTACAACAGAAAAACTTCAAATCCAGACTCCAGCAAGAGACTGCTGAATTGGAATTCATTTGCAAATTGGATACAATTAACTTAGGCTTGAATAGAGACTGGGAGTGGCTAAGTCATTATGCAAGGTAACGTATTTCCCCTTGTTTTTTCCTACCCCCCCCCCCCAGACATTCATGTTAAAGCCTGAATTTGTGCTGGAAATGGCCCACCTTGATTATCATACACATTGTAAGGAGAGTGGTCACTTTAGATAAGCTATTACCACCAAGAGAGTGGATTTGTGGGGGGAGGGGGAAGAAAACCTGGATTTGTGCTGGAAATGGCCCACCTTGATTATCATACACATTGTAAGGAGAGTGATCACTTTAGATAAGCTATTACCAGCAGGAGAGTGGGGTGGGAGGAGGTATTTTTTCATGCTTTGTGTGTATAAAAAGATCTTCTAAACTTTCCACAGTATGCATCCGATGAAGTGAGCTGTAGCTCACGAAAGCTTATGCTCAAATAAATTGGTGAGTCTCTAAGGTGCCACAAGTCCTCCTTTTCTTTATGTTCATATAAGTATGTTTTATGTGATCTAAGAAGGTCTCTTTCCTTCCAGTAGAAGGTAGCACTGACGCAGGCTCACACAAACAACAATCAGCACACCAAATCTCATTCTCTGCCAGACGGGGCAGCAGTCTTTCTCACACCCACCCTCACTCTGAGGCAGTTCTTCTACATGAATAGCACCTAATAATACGGCACTGTGTTTCTCCCCATCCTGCAGTCCAGATTCTGCCCTGTGTCCTGCCATCACAGCCTGTGTTCTGACAAAGCCCAGGAGCAGCATCTCCTCTTCATTCCCTTTTCCTGCCCTGTCACCAGAGATGCTTTTCAGGCTTTGTGGCCTAAACCAGCACAGGTCCGATGTTCAGCTGCTGCTCCTTCGCCATGAGACATTCCCATGACAGAGTCATTTCCCTGAGGACATTGTTAATATCTATTTCATATGCCCATTGAAGGACATAAATCCACACAGCGTAGAGGTCAAGCACAGGAGTTTATTACGTACAGTGCTAACGGAGTGTCACCTTGCTTATTAGGCTCAGATGCACTGTTAATTAATTGATTACAATGGAATATATGGATTTTCCATGGGCGGGGGAAAGTGACGGGGTAGGCAGTTCCACACCTCTGGATAGGTTTAGCTGCAAGGCATGATAGCACAGTAGCCAATGGTCAAAAGGTTACATAATGTCTCCGCCCATGGTCTCAAGTTAACAAATTAACATTAAGCATTTATTTAGTACTTTAATAAATGTATTAGTATAAAATATATATGTTGAATTCTGATTTGGGGTCCATAGGAATGAAGTAGCTCCTTTGATTGTTCAACAGATACATATCTGGGGTAAAAGCAAAAAACAGTGAAAGTATATGTCAATAAAGATTGTCTTTCACGTTGTTCATTTGTGTTTTAAGGCAGGCATTGGTCCCTGGGAAAGGGAGGTAAGAGGAGTCCATATCTTATACTGACATGTTCCAACCTTTTCATAAACTCAAGGTTGGATGTGTGGGAAGAACATCTCCCTACAGAAGAACCTAACACAACAGAAACAGGGCTTCTTTGTTCTATTTGCAACTTTGACTAAGACACAATTATTGTGCCCAACGATTGGCGTTTTGCTGACCAGGCAGATCTTAGCAAAAGCAAAGTTCTATTTTGTTATTCTGCTTTCTCTTAGCTATTGCTAGGCCTCTGACCTCTTGACCAAACTCTGGGCTTTGGGCCTGTACACAAATCCATATACCAGGTTATTACATCAGCAATGGATTTTAACACTTCACCCATCATAACATTTTCCTATAGCAACCGGTACAAGAGAGACACCCTTTTGCTCAAATGTGGAGAAACAAAAATAGTTATACAGGGAAAGAAAGAAAGAAAGAAAGAAAGAAAGAAAGAAAGAAAGAAAGAAAGAAAGAAAGAAAGAAAGAGAAAGTTTAAGTGCAGACCAGGGGATATAAGCTAAACCCTAGAAAGGCACTTTTCCACCCAAACCAGAGTGTACACTTGGGGTTAGACCAGTATCGCCACATGGATTTAAATTCACAGTTTCATTTATAACAAAACTAATTTCCCCTCTAGACAAGGCCTAAGTCAAACTCTTGCAACTTTGTTTCTAAATCGGTCTTCACTCCCTAGAGCACTCAGCTCTGGTCTACACACAGCTTTTGTATCCATATGTGTTTGAGTTAGTAGAGTAATGTTTTCACCCACAAGGGTATAACAGTGCAACACCTAGTTTGTATGAGGTTATACCAGTGTAAACATGCCTTACTCTAGTCTATCTTGTTCCCCTTGCCTCTGGGTCATGAGCAAGCATTTTGTCTTATTTCTCCTTGGAGGTTTAAGAGAAAAAGCAGAGTACATGAGCCCAGAATATTGGTTGTCTCTGAGCCATTCGTGCTTTTCTCAGATATGTCCCGAACCCAAATGAACCGGGCATAGCTTGGAATGGGGTCACCGGATACTTTACAGGTCAGCGTGAGAGACCGGCTGGGCTTCAGCACTGACATACCCCTACACTCGGAGCAAGTTTCACTCCCCACAGCAGGGCCCAGCAGTGTCTCTCTCACACTGTCTCTCCCCCTCAGAGGTGTCCCTGCTACAGGAAAAGCACCGGACACTAAGGCAATGCGTTTCCCCTGAGCATGTGCTCTAGACCAGTGGTTCTCAAATTTTTTTTCTGTGGACCACTTGAAAATTGCTGAGGGTCTTGGAGGACCATGTAATGATCTTTCCGAATGTTGTTTGTACCGTTATCTAACTATTGTAAAGCCCTTTGGATAAAAGTGCTATACAAAAATAATAGTTAACTTTTTTTTGTTCTACAAATGAAAGCACACAACTCATATTTTAATATCAATCGTCTTACCTTTCTAATGAGATAGATGTGCCCTCTCTCCCCTGCCACGGCAGCTCCTGAGATGGGGCTGGGAAGAAGGGGGTCTCCTGCGCTGCGGCAGCCACAAAGCTGGGCTGGGAAGGAGCAGGGTCTCTCCCCAGCAGCCCTGGAGCTGGGGAAAGTCACCTTTTTCTCTGACCACCGCAGTCCTACAAGTCCCAGATTCCCCCCACCCCCTCTTCTCACCCCACTGCCCCCTGCTACCTACCCCCTATTCCCTCCAAGGCCACCACCTCACCTTACATGGGCATCTTCTCCAGGGTCCAGGCACCTAATTAGTGGAGCCATGCCTGCGTGGCTCTACTAATTAGGTGGGTGGCCCTTCATTCTCTTGTGTGGGGCCACCCAGGCGCGCACCTTAGGGGGAACTATCCACGGACCACCTGAATGGAGCTTGTGGACCACTGGTGGTCCACGGACCACAGTTTGAGAACCTCTGTCCCTGGGTTACTTCCCTCACGGCCTTTATTCGGACAGAGCCCAGAATCTGCTTCTCCCCTCCCTGCCCAGCTCTCTCCCCTTTCCCTGAAGCAGTTTCTCACACTCTGGTGCCTGGAACCAGCCTTTGGCTCCCCTCAGATGCAGCTGCTTCCCCCACAGACACTCCCAGGAGAGTCTCATGTCTCTGGACATTTCCTCTCTTTTGTCTGTATTTTCCAGCTCTGTCCGGGGCGTTGGGCAGCAGGCGCAGCTGGAAGGCTGGATTCAAACCCCCAGTGTAGGGACCCAATCCACAGTCCCTTGCTTCCCTTTGAAGGGCTCCAATGAAGGTGAATTGACTTTGGGTCACACACTAAGACATGAACGGGATCCGTGACTCTGCTTCCCACCAGACAGCTCCCTACCTGGAGGGGTCCCTCCCTTTATACCTGCTGGGTGAAACCCACATGCAAATCCCTGCCCCCGGCAGTTCCTGTTTAAATACAAACCCCTGAGTCAGGGAGTCTCAGCTTCTCCCCAGACATGGAACTGCCCAGTCCTGCCCGCTGAGGCATTTCCCTTCTTTTATGAAAACAAGAATGACATCTCTGTGGCTTTTCCTTTCCTTGTTATCGTCCCCTACCTGTGAGTGTGTATTAGAGAGCGGGGAAATTGGGGACAGATCCACAGATTAATTGGCTGCCTCATTACTTCCATAACTTGTTTCCCTCTGTTTCAGGTGTCCTTTCTCAGGTGCAGCTGGTCGAGTCTGGCCCGGGCGTGGTGAAGCCTGGACAGACCCTCACACTGACCTGTGCTGTCTCCATCACTGACAGCAGCTACGCGTGGAGCTGGGTCCAGCAGCCCCCCGGGAAAGGGCTGGAGTGAGTAGCACATATATACCCACACGACGGGAGAAAGTGGTTTGCCGCGTCTCTCCAAAGCCGGACCACCATCTCTTCGGATACCTTTGTTGCCGACACCCAGTGCCCAGAGGCAAACAACAGCAGGGGTTCGTTGCCCGGTATGCATCACCCAATAAACACAACAGGGTGGAGAAGCAGAAAAGTTTATTTGGAATTCCAAAGAAAGGTACAGGGAGAGAAATCTCAAATCCTGCACACCAGAGCAGGTCATTACACACACTTTTATATTCCTTAATGCTACTGCACTACACATCAGCCAATCAAAGCTTTGCACAAATGCTTTGCCTTCCTTATATGGGTTACAACAATGTTTATTTCCTGCAACCTCTAACAAGCATTCCTAGCAACTTAAACAACCAGCACATTCTGTCTGGCCTTGTAGCTGTCTCTCCTGTTATCTTTAACTTGGCGTCAGCAAACTTACACTATGAGGCATTATCTACAACTGCAACATTGTTTTAAGAGCAAAAGAGCTTACTTAAACCAGCCAGGCCTGAGTTCTATTAAGGGGGGTTGAAAAGAAGCCCTTAGGCCTACAGCAGGGAGACTTCCTCGACCCTTATGGCCTTCCATCCCCTCGACTTAACTAGTGGCCATGCCCTGGGGTCTCCAACACCTCCTAGAACCAGGTCTCCCTGCAGCTGGCCTCCCTCGCAGCTGCAGACACCGCCATGTATTACTGTGCCAGAGACACACAGTGACACAGAGCAAAGCTGGGCTGGTACAAAAAGGGGGAGCGGATTGTCTAGACTCACTCGGGGCCCTTTCACACTCACGTCTCCATTAGAAGCGGCGTGAGACACTGGCCACAAGGAGGTTTAGGAGGTGGAAAGGGGAGAGGGAAAATTTCTTGTCTTCTCACTCAGCTCCTTGTAAAACAGAGACACAGAGCTCATATCTCATGGCTTCCCCAGGGGGAATCAATCAGACAAGGAACCAGGTCTTATTCCCAGCAGCAATCCCATAACCCTTCTGGGTACTAGCTACAGAAGACAGAGCTGCCTTTCTCCCTCAGGAGCTCAGGAATTCCCAGCAGGGTTCAAGTCAAGTTCGCTTAGCCCAATAACCTGTCTCTGAGCATGACTAGCAGGGACTGCTTCACATAAGGACCCCGCATCTGAGGATGTGAGAATATCCACCCTCCAGATCACTTCTCGCTCTGGCCTCTAACAGAGATTGGGTTAAACCAGATACACTCACACTGTGGCTCTCCAGCCGCAGAGGGCTTTTTAATGTGTTTCCCGCCGGCCTTTGCAGCACCTGGTATGATTTAATTATGAACCCATCCAAGTTATTAACCAATCAAGATGTTTTTATTATGTTATTAACCAATTGAGTTATCGACTTGCACTAAGTTATTAACTTACTGTGGGAATTTTATAGATATACAGATAGATATCTAAACAATATATTATATATAAATACATATATACTATATATAGAGAGAGTGTGTCTATATGTATACATATACACTAAATATTTTCCCTGTCATTCACACTACTGTGACTCTTTGGGTAATATTGATGGATAATTTGGCTCCTGAACCCCTGAGGCCTGGGTATCACTGGTTTGAACCCTAAAGGACAAGGTTTAACATCTCTGCCAAATTCTCCCCCTCCCCCCTTGCCAGTGTGTGTCCCAGCCCCGCTCCTGACCTACCACAATCACAGGCCTCCTTTGGATACAGCCCAGAACTTTCCTGTCTCCCAACTTCTCTCCCTCCTGCTCCTGCCCTGAAAGCTGTTGGCTGGTGCTACTTGGGAAAACCAACCTTTCTCCCTCCCCGGGTTAGATGAGCGACTCACGACCAGTCCTGGATTTTACCCTCACACGTGAAGCTGAGAAGTCTCATTATCCCCATTTTACAGAGGAGGAATTGAGGCCCTGACTCAGTAAGGCTGAGATTATCCAACCCGCCTAGGGGGGTTGGGCACCCACCGCCCACTGACACGAGCGGGCATTGTGCACTCAGAGTCCTTCGGTGGATTCACACAACGGCAACAGGGAGAGAGTGCCTGATGTAGGGACTGACCCTGCGACTTCTGTCCTGTCTCCTAGGGCCCCAGGTGAATCACCAAAGACGAATGTACAGCCGGGCTGAGCTGACCGCGTGGTCTCTTTGCGGTGCAAAGGGGACCCCTGTCCGAAGGGGACATCACCATGCACTGAGCGCTCACCCCCTGCCGTCTCTTATACCCGCCCTGGGGAACCCGCATGCAAATCCCTGCCCCGGGGGTCCTGTTTAAAAATAACCCCCTGGTTCTTGGAGCCTCAGTCTCTCCCCAGACACAGAACTGCCAGTTCCTGCCCGCTGGGGAGTTTCCCTCATTGCATGAAAACGACAATGAAATCTCTGTTGCTTTTCCTTTCCCTGTTCTCTGCCCCCTCCTGTAAGTGTTTACTGAGAGCGAGAAAACTAGCAACAGATCCACAGATTCTTTCGGTGGCTAATTAATTCCTTGCTTTGTTTCCCTTTCCCCAGGCGTCCTCTCCCAGGTGCAGCTGGTCCAGTCCGGCCCGGGAGCGGTGAAGCCCGGAGCGACCCTCAGTATCACCTGTAAAGTCTCTGGAGTCTCCGTCAGTGATCACTATTGGAGCTGGAACCGGCAGCCCCCCGGGAAAGGGCTGGAGTTTATGGGGTTTATCCGCAGCACTGCACAGGGAGGGACCACAGAGTACAACTCGGCTCTGAAACCTCGGCTCACCATCACCAGGGACACCTCTAAAAACGAAGTTTATCTCCAGCTCCGCTCGCTGACGGCTGCAGACACCGGCACCTATTACTGCGCCAGAGACACGGTGATACGGAGCAGAGCAGGACCTGTACAAAAAGGGGAAGCGGATTTCTCAACAGTCAGCCGACATGAACACTCAGTTCGTGCTGTAGGGGGTGAGACAGACGGGGCATTGCTGGCGCGGGTATTTTCTCCACCTGAACACATTGGAGATGCAGGAGCATGTTATATTTTTGGCATAAATGTCTTATATTGTAAACACTTTTTTTGGTATTTCTTTGCCTCCTTTTAATTGATGGAGAATGTATTTAACTTGACTGGATCCTTCACTGTTCCCTGTTTTCTCTCCTCCCTCACTCCCCCCCCCCCGGGGCCTGTTCGCAGGTTGTTCTGACCCAGTCGGGTCCCGAAGTGAAGCGGGCGGGGGAATCCACCCAGCTGGAATGCGCCGTGACCGGGTTTGTTCCGAACGACTGGTGGATGGATTGGGTCAGACAGCAGCCGGGAAAGGGACTGGAGTGGCTGGTCCGCTATCACAAATCTTCAGTCACGAATTACTACTCCCCCACCATGCAGGGGCGGTTCACAGCCTCCAAGGAGGGCACCAACTTCTACCTGCAAATGAGCAGCCTGAAAGCGGAGGACCCCGTCGTGTATTACTGCGCGAGGGACACTGACACACAATGAGGGGAAGCCGGTCTGGGCTCACCCAAAGCCTCCCCGCTTTAGAGACTGGGGATTTGTCCACTGGCGGAGCCTTGTGCTGCCCTTCTGAACAGAGATGGGTTTTATCCTATCTCCGCAGCACTGACCCTTCTCCTCAGACAGTGACTCCAGAATTATTTCCAAAAATGTAGCAAACAAACAAACAAACAAACAAAAAACAGATATATTCCGGAACATCTCTGCAAAGTCTGTTTCCGCACTCAGACACCAAGTTACCCTGAGAACGCAATGGACAAAAAAGTAGCTCGCTCCTAATTGATAACTCTGACACCAACATTAAAGAAGGGGTAGGAGGCAAAGTTAGAGAGAGAGAGAGAGAGAGAGAGAGAGTGTCTTCGTATGTGTTTGATTAAGGACTTGGTTCATGGTTGGGTGCTGTGTTAACAGCAATAAACGAACAGCGGGAAACTTTACAAGGAAAGCGAAGAAGAGGATCAGGGACCTCTTAACTGATCAGAATTACAGCAGTGTAAATATCGAGAAGGATTATTCTGTTTCTGGTGTTAGAGCAAAACGACAATGAAAAGTGACAATAACTCAAGTGGCGCCAAGGATCAGAAATGTAATTTATCCTCGAAAATACTTTCTTGCAAAGGGTTGACTAAAAATAAACCACCCAGATATTATCCAGAATACGAGCTTGGGTCATTTCTTCAAGGGGGTGCTGGTGGAGAACACACGGGATATGATACCTAACGGAGGGGGAGAAGGGATATTCTCAGACAGTTACTGTCTTCTGAGGGCAGCAGACATAAATCCACTAACTAATGTCACCCAGAGTACGTTAATAGCAGCCGAAAGGCTCTAATTTAACTCAATGCATTGCAATAAAACCCTTATTCACTATAAATGTATGTCTGACTGTACAGTAAATGCAGTACGTTTGCTAACAAGATGATAAATCTCTACCGAACACGGAATAGGATTTAAGAGATGGGGTGAGACAGATAAAGGCCCAAATCCTACTGAATTTCGATGCCATTTTTGTTCTTAATTCCCTTGGGCTCTTTTGAAATCCCATCCAAAACCACAGGAGAAGGGGTAAAAATTCTCTTCTCGAGATATCCCTTCATTCCAAAGAAGGCGTTGTCTTGCACTTACAGTTGACTGAGAATTTCAACGTCCTTTAAGAGTGTTAAATGACCAAATTCTATTTATTTAAACTGAGTTTGGGGGGTCCAAATACCTTAGGCTGTTTCACATTTCGCTGAGCTGAACTCACTGTCTCGGGGGGTAGGACTGGTTCCAAGGTAAGATCCCCAAGTGTAGACAGAGCACACACCCTGTCAGCTTTTATATTAATTCTGGGAAACCCCCATGCAAATCCCTGCCTGGAGGGCTCCTCTTTAAATACAAACTCCTGATTGGAGAAACCTCAGTCTCCCCCCAGACATCGAACTGCCTGGCCCTGGTTGCTGGGGACAGTTTGCACCTTCACTTAAGATGAACCTGCTACTGGTTTTCCTGTTCATGCTGGAGGCCTCTTCAGGTACGTGCCGAGTGCGGGGCGGGGGTCAGGAGGGTTCCTTGCTGCAGTGACTGCAGAAGAGGAGATGTTCAAGGCAGCCTAAAGGAATGAGATGCCCGGATCCCAATGCAACTCAGTGGCATTAGGGTGCCTCACTCCCTTAGTAGACGTCTCAGGGTGTTTAATTTTCTCATGGTTCCCGCTCCCAGGGGATAGGAACCTGGCTCACGGATTCATTTCTCTGTTTCCTTCCCAGGTGTCCTCTCCCAAGTGCAGCTGAAGGAAACGGGTCCGGGAGAGGCGAAACCGGGGAGTCCCCGACACTCACTTGTACCATCTCCGGAGACTCGGTTTCTAGCACCAGCGCCACCTGGGACTGGTTCCGGCAGCCTGTGGGGAAAGGGCCGGAATGGATGGGACGCACATGGTATAGGTCTGGCAGGTGGCACACTGAGTCCCCCAGCTCTCTGCAGAGTCAAATGATCATCACACCAGACACTTCCATGAACCAGGTCTCCCTGGAGCTCCGCTCGCTGACAGCTGCAGACACCGCCGCCTGTTACTGCTCCGGGAGAGACACACAGTGACACGGAGCAAAGCAGGGACCAATCGAAAAAGGGGAAGCGGGTTTTCCACAGTGCAGTGAGGTACTGGCTCCCGTGACACCGGTAACAAGGCGGGGATTCTAGACCTCATTCTCCATGGCCTTTACCCATGTGTAGTCATTTACAATTTGCAACGGAAGGGGGGCGAATTAGTGACTCTAGCAATCGGTCAGTGACTCTGTTCCCATTGAGTTCTTTGAGGGTGGTGGGCATCTTAATTAGGGGAAATTCTCCTCTTGGAAGAATATTATAAGGAACTTAGCGGTGATCAAAGTACACATGCACACAAATTAACTCTATTTCTTCCAGGTGATGAAATATATGTCTGCCTCCTCCAAAAGAAAAAGTCAAAACGCCACAGTAAATAAATATATCTAGGACCTCCTGTAAAATCCTCTATGTGCCTCTGATTTTTCATTGCACCTGTTATCCTACGAGATATAAAAAGTAATAGAGTGAAAGCACAATAAGCCACATTACCTCCAAAAGAGTTACTCCTCACTTACAAAAGGAGGACTTGTGGCACCTTAGAGACTAACAAATTTATTTGAGCATAAGCTTTCGTGAGCTACAGATCACTTCATTGCAAGCTTATGCTCTAACAAATTTGTTAGTCTCTAAGGTGCCACAAGTACTCCTTTTCTTTTTGTGAATACAGACTAACACGGCTGTTACTCTGAAACCCATCTTCTGAATTAGTAGATGAACACAATCTAATGAGAAAAATAATATTCTTTTTAAAAAAATAAAAAAATCTTGGCCCAAATGATATCATGTGACAAGGAGTTCCACCGGTAAATTGTGTGGAAAAGGATTCCCTTTATCCATTTTCAATTAGAAAAAAATAATAATTTCAGGCAAACATTCGCAGTAAAGATAATGTACTTGCATTTATCTATAATGTTGAAGATCATGGACTAGATTTTCAAATATATGGAGATGCTCAAAGATGAAGATAGATGCCCAGTGGTATTTTCAAAAGCTCCTGAGTTAGCCACCTAACTCCCGTGGAAGTGTTATGTTATATCCCCCGCACAATCCATTGGGCCCAGAGTCCTTCAAATCTGAAATGTATTTTCTCCTTCTGTTGTAAAATGAGGACAAGCCCCGGAGAGTGCACCCTCTTTTAACCTGAAATCTTGCCAGACACTTTCAGCTTTTGTCCCCACCCCCAGTTGGGTGAAACAGGCCTGTATGGCCTTGCCTCAATGGGTCCCTGTTTAAATACAAAACTCTGATTCTAGACGCAACAATATCCATACAGGAATATCTCTTTCACAAAGTCTCCCACAATATCTGCAAATAAATATGAAATCCTTACAGACTTTTATCTTCTATTGGCCTTTCCTTCAGCAGGGAATGAATCATTTCTCTTTATAACTCTGTCTCTCATTCATGTGTTTTCTTTTATTCCATCTAGCCCAGTATCCTGTCTTCCTACAGTGGCCAGTGCCAGGTCCCCCAGAGGGAATCAACAGAACAGGGAATCATCAAGTGATCCATTCCCTGTCAATCATTCCCAGCTTCTGGCAAACAGAGGCTAGGGACATCATTCCTGCCCATCCTGGCTAATAGCCATTGATAGACCTATCTTCCATGAATTTATCTAGTTCTTTTTTGAACCCTGTTATGGTCTTGGCCTTCACAACATCCTGTGGCAAGCAATTCCACAGGTTGACTGTGCATTGTGTGAAGAAATACTTCCTTTTGTTTGTTTTAAACCTGCTGCCTATTAATTTCAATTGGTGACCCCTAGTTCTTGTGTTATGAGGAGTAGTAAACAATACTTCCTTATCTACTTTCTCTACACCAGTCATGACTTAATAGACCTCAATCATATCTCCCTTAACCATCTCTTTTCCAAGTTGAAAAGTCCCAGTCTTATTAATCGCTCCTCATATGGAAGCCATTCCACACCTCTAATCATTTTTGATGCCCTTTTCTGAACCTTTTCCAATTCTAATATATCTTTTTTGAGATGGGGCGACCACATCTGCACACAGTATTCAAGATGTGGGCGTACCATGGGCTTATGTATAGGCAAGATGATATTTTCTGTCCTATTATCTACCCCTTTCTCAATTATTCCCAGCATTCTGTTCACTTTTTTGACTGCTGCTGCACACTGAGTGAATGTTTTCAGAGAACCATCCACAATGACTACAACATATCTTTCTTGAGCGGTAACAGCTAATTTAGACTCAAGCATTTTTTATGTATAGTTGGGATTATGTTTTCCAATGTTCATTACTTTGCATTTATCAACATTAAATTTCATCTGCCATTTTGTTGCCCAGTCACCCAGTTTTGAGAGATCCTTTTGTAGCTCTTCGCAGTCTGCCTGGGTCTTAACTATCTTTAGTTTCCCAGCAGATGAACTCTCTGAAATCCAGCTGATCTAGTTGGGGCCAAGGATCAAGGGATCCTGCAATCATGGGAAAGTAGGTGTGGAAAGGCCATCAAATCCATCCGCCCATATTCAACGGCAGGACCAAGTCCACCTTAGCTAGAGAATGGTGAAGAATGCTGGCTCACGTCTCACGAGCACTCAGAGTTATCATTTCCTTTGGATTTCTAAGCAACCTGCAATAATAATCTATATCACCCCCCACATGAGCCATTAACCCATTACTACTAGCTCAGCATTTTATATATGAGGACTACAGAAAGAACTCAGAAGCAGGAATGGCCAGATTCAGTGAAACACACCACATATCCTGGAAAAAGCAAACAGCGTGATTTGAGGTATGCAACTGCCAAGTTTTATTTTTACTATTAAATAATTGAATAAAAGAAAGAAAGAAAGAAAGAAAGAAAGAAAGAAAGAAAGAAATTATGCCCCAACCTTATCTGGAAAAATCTCTTGTAGAGTAAGTGTCGTGTGTTTA